CCCTCACGGCTGCCCACCCTCTTCACCTTCTGCCTCACTACCCCCCTCCTCCTCTCCGGTCTCTACTCGACGACGCTTTACCGTCTGGCGCAGGTGTGTGACATACACATACACACATACACGCACACCTACACACACACCACTCCGACCCATAAGTTGAAGGAGGACCTCCTCCCTTCCCTCATCCCCGATCCCAGCACCAGCACCCCCGCCACACTTACCCCCCGGCAGGAGCCTTGCTACTCCGAGCTCATGGGTTACGTGACACGTCGACTTTGGCAACCTGCTTCACACACACACACACACACACACACGCCCGTCACAGAGCAACACTCACCGACACGACGTAGGCCACCCCGCTGAAGGTCATCCTGGCCACGGACTCTTTCCGGCGCACGGGTGGCTCCTCCAGGCGGGCGTTGTCCGTCACGTCCTGCGGCCCGGACAGCGGCAGCACGTCCGGCCGGGCGAATCGCGACTGAAACGCGGAAAAAGGGAAAAGGGCGTAAATCAAACAGACACTGGCAAAACAAATGTAAAAAGTTGCACACCAAATGATGTGCAGTATCAAGGGTGCAAACACTAAACACTTCATCATGTCGAACTGAACTAGACGTCAATTAGTGTGCAAACAATAGACATTTCGTTAACGTTTCCGTAACTAATGTATGGTATTTGCACACTACGAAGGGCAAAGTTCAGTTAAACACCGTGTAATGCGCAAATCATGAGTAGCACACTTAGATGTGCATTATTTGCACATTTCTTATACTAAGTGGAGACACACAAAAATCTTCGCTGAGACATTCCGAAATGTTACGAATGATACACTAGACGTTAAGTTTTGTGCCTCGCGGGCAGGGGTGCTAACACAGTCTTGCACTCACTTGCATCTATGAAAGGGAGCTACAAACTACACACTAAATTGCAATGGATTTTTTTTTGTCCACAGAAGAATGTATTTTTAAGTACATCTTGACAGGGTGCATTTTTACATCTTGCAAATGACAAAAATTTGCATCATATCTTGGACAATTTTTATTTTTGTCCACCGATAAGATGCGAATTTGCCATTTGCAAGATGTAAAAATGCATCCTGTCAAGATGTACTTAAAAACGCATCTTGCTGTGGACAAAAAAAGGCCATTGGAATTTAGTGCGTACCTCTCTTATTCCAGGGGTCACATTGGTGCGCAGCAGTCCCGCAACCATTTACTTCTCCACCACACCAACAACCACCACGTGCCACTCTCTTCGCCATACTTGTACTTCTTGTCACTTTTCCCTTCGATTTTCACGCGCTCCTCTCGCGAGGTGAACGGGAGAAAGGGGGAAAAAGCACGACCTTGAGAGGGAAAGAAATCCCTTTTCCTGTAACGTTCAGGGGTTCCATTATTTAAGGCGGGCTCACGACTGGAGAGCTGCCCCGGCCGCGTGGATGTCCCTCAGAAGTAAGACAGGCTCCGCGCGCTCCGCCCGCGTCGGGTCGGGACCACGGTCGGGACGAGGGCAGACAGAGAGACGGATGTTTGTCTTGAAGCGGAAGCGAGTGCGAGCGAGGTACTGCTTCCCCTCACAGGAAGGAAACCAAGCAGCGAGAACTGACGTCAAGCCGGGAGGCAGAGCAAGGTGGGTAGGTGCGGGCGAGTGCGGGGCACGTGGACAGCCAGTATTTTGGTTTTGGTAATTTGTGTCAAGTAACGCTGCTGCCTCGTTTCACGCTCTGTATCTTTCTTTTTAGCATGGTCTCGGTAAAGTAGAAAGCTAGAAAGCTCCGTGGGCACAGTGAACAACATCCTGAAGTGACGATACTTTTCGTAAATTTGCTTTGAAATTGATATGCGTAAGTTTGCAATCACTGTTTAAAATTTACGAACAACTTCTGTAAATTTACCAAAAAAGCCCTGATAAACTTAGCAACGCCGTCGCTATTGTTGCTTGTCGGTGGTGCTCACCTGGCTGTAGGGCGTGGACGGCGTGACTGGCGTGGTGGGCAGCGAGGGCGTGAGCGCGAACTCGTCCTTGAGGTCGCCGTAGCGCCGCGCCGCCAGCCGCTTCCGCCGGTCCACCCACCGCGCGCGCTGGGCGCTCTCCTGGGCCGCGTCCACGCCGAAGAAGGCGGCCGTCTCGCGCTTGATGTAGCTGAGAGCGGAAGAAAGGAAGGAAAAGGGCACGTATTAGCGATAAGGGTCACAGATCGACAAAAACAACAAAAAACGACACCTCTTATACTTATTGTTTTTCTTTCCATTTATCTCTCCCTCCATAACCCCGCCCCAACCCCCACAACCGCCCCCACCACACCACCCACCCCCAGCGACGCGCCGTCTTTTTCCGTCACCGGGCTTAGCTCGGGAGAACGATGAGCGTGACGAAATAAAACAAAGCTGAGCCAGAGGCCTTGCGCGCGCAGGCCTCTTGGGCGAGGTCCTGGCTGCCGCTGCTGCTGCTGCCGCCGCCGCTCTGGGGAAAAGGAAACCATTTCAGATGGCCCGGGGGGGAGGCCCTCCGCCCTCCCTCATCAGAGTGTCGCAGACACATTTCCCTCTTGCTTTGCCTGCTCCGCGCCACATCGTAAGAAGACGCCTCTGCCCCGCCCCGCCCCGCCCCGCCATGGCGCAACGAGCACCCGGGCGCTAGCCAGCCATCCCCAGGCGTCGCGCCCCTAAGAACTACATTATACATTCAATCTCCCCTGGCTTTGGGCCGCGCCACCGCCACGCCCCGCCACACCCCGCCACGCCCCGCCACGCCCCGCCACGCCCCGCCACGCCACGCCCCACCCACACCAACCAGCACGCCCTCGATCTACAGCAGGTCGTGGCGGGGCGCGGCACGGCGTGGACGCGAGGCCCTATCCCCTCTCAGATTTTGGACTCCCCCCCGTCCATCCCCCCCGCCCTATGTAAGCAACAGATATCAGCGACACGTCCCTCGCCGTCTCCTTAACGCGTTTTCCTCATGGATCCTTCCCTTCTCCACCCTCCCTGCCCCCGCGACACACACATGCTGCTCGTACGCTTGTAAGTTTGCGGCCCAGTTTGCAAGACTTGCAGCAGGTTTAAGCCCCCCACCTCCCACCCCCTCGGTAACGGTGCGAGTAAGCCCGACGGCGACGGACGGGAAGCTGCCCTGACGTCAGCCGGGGAGGCGCCAGGAGCCATATGTGCGAGTGAGAGAGCGGCAGGGGGTGGGGCACCCGTGTGGGGCACCCTGTCTCCAATCAACTAACTCTCTCGCACTATTGTTCCTGCCGCGCTGTGGAGCGTGAGCTCCTCAAACTCCCAGTCCAGGAGGGCCACCCAACCCCTGCCTGCCGCGCTCGAGGTCCCTCGAGTACACGATGCTGATGATCATCACCCCCCCCCCTCACCCCAGGCGGAGCTGTGAGCGCTTGCGAGTTATGTGATCCAGGATACACAGGAGGCCCGGCAGGCTAGAGTCCCCACTCCCTCACATTCGCGTTTCTTCTCTCTCTCACTCCCAAGTCAGTTGCGATCAGCCATAACAGCAACATTTCATTTTTTCAGGCCTTGCCTAAGGCTCCTTGCTGCAAGCCCCACCCTGGCCAACCAACCACCCTCTCGGCGCACCCCACCGTGCGCCGCCCGCCCCATTTACGGCAGTGGCGTAGCCAGGCTGGTGGGATTACTGCAACGCGCTCCGGCTCGGGACGTGCCGCAGCCGTGCCCTGGGGGATTGTTTCCTCAAGTCTCTCTCTCTCTCTCTCTCTCTCTCTCTCTCTCTCTCTCTCTCTCTCTCTCTCCGGTGGTGCTGAGAGGAGGTGAGGCCGTGGCGTAGTGCAGCAGGGCGGCGCATGGCGGCGCCGGCAACAGATTATGTTCCAGTCGATTAACTTCGAGGGGTTCCTAATATCTTGAGCCCTGTTTGTTTTCCGATTCCGCGAGCTCGTGGCACCTCCCCAAGCCCCGCCCTGACTTCTCTTTCTTTTTTTCCCTGTTTTTATTTTCCTCTTGCGAAGATTTAAAAGCCAACACCTCTGCGCGTGTCGGCTGTAGATCAGTATATCACAGCCAGCAGCAGCAGCCACGTGCAGCCCGAGTGGCGATTAGGCGAAGGAGAAACGACTTGGGTTAATATCCGCTAGACACGGCCCGTATAAATCGGTGGGTAATCTGAGGTAATCCAAACGTAACTCTGGTGCCATCACTGTCACAAACATTATTGTGATTTCATGATTTTTGTTTCTCAGCTTTCTCTTACGAAAACTTTGTTTTTAACACGAAACATCATTTCACTAATTGCTCTAATTTACGAGTATGAAATTTGTACATGTTCGGTTGAATCGTGTATAAGCCGAGAGAATTTCTGATCTTCAGCAGGAAATATATTTGTCGTATTTACGAAAAGTTCGAATATTTTCGTAAATTATTTCTTATGAAAGAATTCGTAACAGTGTTTTCCGTTTTAAATCACGAAGACCTATTTACGGTGATCGAAGGCAATTTGGGAATTATCCCCAGGTTAATCTTGTGCTTGTGTTTCCCACCACTTTCACGATACGAAGCCACCGTGAAATCACACTTCTTTGGAGTCGAAATTAGGGCATTTTGCTACCGTAATTTGAAACAGTTGTAAACCTCGTTGTGAACCAATCGTAATAATTTCTGAAGTTGATCAATTTTGGACAACGAATAAGACGAGTTGTGATTTCACAAATACATAGTTCTGACAACGTTTTTCACAAAAAAAAAATTCTTGGTGAAGTGTTCTCCCTTTCTAAGAGACTTTTGCTTGGTAGAGACAGTCTTTGGGGGACTGTCTAAAACGAGGTCTTAAAACAGTGTGTACTCAGAGTAAACCGAGGTAACACTCAGAAAAATGAAAAGCTGTAGTAGCCATCGTATGCTTACCTCAAGCACAACAATAAAGTATATTTCAGGCAACCACGGCATACGGGTGTCTCATAACCAGAAATACGTTTTTCACCTTTGGCGGATTGCTATCTCAAGCATATTTTATGGGTATCCCTAAAGGAACCATACTACGATGGTTGCTATAGCTTCTCAATTTTCCTGGGTGAAGACACTGAACACGATGTCTTGGAGTTGTTGCCCCCTTACGATTAGGTTCCTGTCCCACCGGGGTCGACACCCTCGTCGGGCTGCACGGTCCTGGCCGTGTCGGTTGCGATACTCACTTGCGGACGATCTCGGACTTGGACTGCTGGCGCTGCAGACGGTGGCGCGAGGGCCCCGCGCTGCCCGCGCCCTGGCTGTGGCCCGGCGCCAGGCTCTGGCTCGCCGACATCCGCCGCACGTCCGAGAAGGACACGCCAGCCTGCGTCCTGGCCGTGGCCACACCCGCGGGCGCAGACAGCTGCGGCGACAGGTGGTGGGGGTGGGGGTGGCCGCCGGGGTGCAGCTGCGGCGGCGAGGCCGGCGGCTCGAGCGAGGCGGTGGTGGTGGAGGCCGTGGAGCTGCCGCCGCTGTGGCCGCTGCCCCCGCTGTCCCGGTCCAGCGCGCCCTGCGGCCGCTGCAGCGGCGCCCCACTGTGCTGGCTGTCCGCGCTGCAACACAAAGGACGTCAAAATCAACCCCAGTCGCGCACAGACAACACCAGGACGATTAACCACGTCGTCATACTGCGCAGTAAAAACAAGGCAAATACGAATATTAATTTCAATATAATAAAGTTGAACGATTAAAAAATTCTTTTATGAAGTTACACATTACAATTATCATACGGCGTCATACAGTTACTTCATATTCTGAAAAAAAAAACAAAAAAAACTAAAGTGGCCGGAACGTTTGTTTTAAGCGACAAGCTGCTGTTAAGGACAATCATTGTTACATAGTCGTTTGCCCCATCATCGTCAGCTGACGTCACCCCCTCCATCGTCGGTGCTGACGGTTCTTCGAGATGATTACAATTCGGCGCCAAGGCCAAAACTTTAACATGAAGAACATTCTTCTCCGCCCCGCCCCCGCCCCGCCACACCCTCCGCGCCCCGCTCCGCGCCACCACCCACGCCTGCCCGCAAGGGTTCACCTCACGCCAACCTTGACGTCGAGCAGCAGCATCAGAGCGAGGCTGGCTACGGCGGAGGAGGAAGAGAACCCAAGCCACCTCGGGAATCTCGCGTTATGAGTTTGATAAAAGAATGCCGGTGCCTGGCGCCGGGGCGATGCGGGGCGGGGCTGGGCGCGCGCACGGCATCGAACTGCCCCAATCAGCATGCCGTGCCGGGGCCGTGCCCAGCGGGCGGGACCAGCGGGCGGCCGGGATTCTTTTGAAGTTGACGGCGGTACAATCACGAAGCGAAAAGAATTCCACCAGCACCAGCTGCTCGTGTAAGGCCACGGTTTTTTCCTCTCTCTCTCTCTCTCTCTCTCTCTCTCTCTCTCTCTCTCTCTCTCTCTCTCTCTCTCTCCCATTTTCCCTTTCTCTCACTCACTCACTCACTCTCCCCCTCCGCCTTTAATTTTTATCAACGCAGGAGTGGAATTCTTTTTTTGTCGGAATTGGCTACTATATAGCTCTTCAGGAAGAAATTTCATATACAATTTCCGCAAAGGCCATGCCATTCAACACGAGCATAACGCCATTTTTTTGTTTGCTTATTTCTTCCCTGCTCACCTGGACACATTGATGGAGGGCGTCGGTGAGGCGGCCGGTAGGGGCTGCTGAGAAGACTGCTGGCCCAGCTGCTGTTGTTGTTGCTGCTGTTGCTGCTGCTGTTGCTGCTGCTGCTGCTGCTGACTCTGGCCGGTCACTCCCCTCCTGTGGGCAGATACATAAAGGAAAAGGTCAGTGACGTTGCAGTTTTTGCTGGTGCTGGTGTTTTATTTGCGTATGGGTGTATGGTGGCAACTTGCTGCTTTTGTCAAGTGTAGGGAAGTATGGGGGGAGGTGGAGGGG